GCTACATTCTTTGTAAGTAATCAGAGACATGCACATAAGTGCAAAACACTGTAAACACAATAAGCACAAGGGTGCGATGGTTAATGGCACACTCAATAAGCATGTGAAGTATAAAAGTCTTAAAATGGAAAGTGATTCTCACATCTCAGAGTGGGTGCTGTGAGTCAAAGTGTGGTTTAGTGGTGAAAACCAACCAAAACCAACACAAAAGACAATGAAAGTGAGTGGTGGTATGCCTATGCAGTACCTAGATGGTGGAACCTTCTATTTTGGTGGGGTTTTTTGAGCTACAACACTCAAAGATGAGTGCTGAGGGTTGGGGGTGCTCCTGACAAAGAGGGAGAAAGAATGCAAGAGATTGCAATGGGGGTAGACTGCTGTCAGCCTACCAAAGGATAGATGATGACTTAATTCAATGTTCCAAGCTGCACTGAGCTCAGGGAGGACTTGGAGTAAAGCTGATTGATGATGGATGATGATAAGTGAAGTAGATGATAGTTAGACCCTTAATAAAGTCTCAACTATTGAAGCTGATGAATGAATTGCTGAGAGATGATGAATTGTGAGCAGGAGGGGCTCTCTGATGTCTTCTTTTTTTCAGCTATCTAAGTACAGTGATTTATATACAGTACAGGGGCATTGCCTATGGAAAACAAGGTGCAAACACTTGGTAAGTGATTGGTAAGTGATAAGTAAGGAATGTAAGTGGTGGGTAATCATCTTAGAAAGCATTGGTGAGCATTGGTAAGGATAAGTAAGCCAAAAGGCAAAGAATCAGTAAGCAGAGTCAAAAGATTGGCAAGTATTGGCAATATGCAGGTGAGTCAAGGACAGTCAGAATTTCAAAGTATGAGTCAAGTAATGTCAGAAACTGGGTAAGTACACTGGAATCACATTAGGGGGAGGCTATGCATGTCACATCTTGAAGAGATTGCTTCTAGGCCAAGGTGGGATGACAGGAAGGCAGCACCAATCTGATGCCAATATAGCACATCCAAAAGGGGACAGGGTGGGTCAGATGTCAACAGGGGTCAAGCTTTGGGGGTCTGTGGGGTTGACAGGAGCATAGGGGATTGCAACCTTCCCCCCCAACTGTCCTCTCAGTGAAGCAAATAATAACTTCATGAATGAGGCTCTGTTGGAAGAGAGGAAGAAGGGGGAATGTCTTCTGCTGTATCTTGCAATAAGAAGGCAAGATGTGCATCATACTTATTATGGATGTGATCAGGGAGAGTGGAGAACAGTAGATTATATGTAGCTGTCACAATTTTGGAAGAATGATGGATGAGACAGGTATGAAGACACTGCAGGGAGAAGGGAGGAAGGATCCATATGCTTCTTGGACTGAAGTGACTGAAACAACCACATAAGACCTTTCCAAGCAAATGGCAGACATGAGTTGACCAAAGAATGTGCTGTCCAAGCTGGATGGGCTGAGAGGGGGCAGATGAGGATGGGATGTACCAGGATGCTTCAGGATGGAAGCTGGTAGGAATTCCTGGTAGTTATCCATAGCCATGGTCCCTAGCAAAGGGGACAAGCAAAACAATTGATGTGGAGGCAGCCATATCGGAAGAATTAGTGAAATGAGTGTCTTTTGGAGGGAGTGCTGTAGAAACATGTGGAGTGCACAGATCCTTCTCAATTTTGGAAGGCAGGATCATGTGGCTGAGCACTATAAGCAAGTGTTGGAATGGTGTCAAAAACTGGAATGCCATACACAGGTGCTTAAGAATTTTTATTGGCACTTAGCTCCCTTCCTTTCTCTTTGGCACAGATGACTTGTTCTTGTGCAATGGATGACTGCCAACATCCCTGGCTGTCATTCTTTGCATGAGGGCTATAGGCTTCATCTCCATTTGTCAGCAGTATCCATGTCCACATCACCAAACACCTTTGGTGTGTGACAACATGTTCAGACTACACACAACTTGCTAAATCTAACAGACTGATGGGATGTCCCATGATAGCTTTAGAGGCTACTGTGGGACATCCCACTTCCCTCTCTGAAGGCCAGTGGGATGTCCCATGATAGCTTCAGAGGCTACTGTGGGACATCCCACTCCCCTCCCTGGAGACTAATGGGATGTCCCATGATAGCTTTGGAGGCTGCAGGCACATGAGTCAATCCCCTTTGGAGACCCATTAAGTCTATATATTTCTATAGGTTTATATACCTATGAAGTCCAAACAGGTTGGGTATACCCAGCTGCTGCCATGGAAAGTTTTTTCTCCAGCACCATGCCTGGGGACTCCAGGGCAGCCATTGATTTCTCCTGGCATGGCAATGATCATGAGTGTTTTGTGTTTTTCTCATGCAATTTTCCACTGTCTGATAAGATGAGCATACCATCATGATTTCAAAATCAGGAGCTACAACTTTCATTATGATGACATCACTCCATTATCACTTGCTGGGGTATTAACACCTACTAGTGCTAGTTGTAGTAGTTGGTAGCACTGCATAGTGTAGGCTAAGCTACACATTGGTAGTGTGGATTTTTGACTATGACTGACTATGAAAAGTGTAGTGTGAGTCAGAGTGCAAAAGTCACATGACAATTGATCATGTGACCCCAAGTGCCCCAAATGTGCTGCCATTGAAGTCACATGACTGATGGACATGTGATGTCATACCATCCCAGTCCTGTGATCTAGGTCATGTGACCATTTGTGATGAAGTTGCAGGAGGGGTCAGTCATGTCACTTAGTGCCCCAGGTCATAACATTGATCATTCACACACCAAGGTCAATTGGTGATCACATGAGATCACATGACTGAACTGACACTCATGATCTAGTTCCTTAGGTCATGGGAGTGGCCAATCATGTGGTCCCAGTGGTCATGCAGCTTTGTGAATTGCAAGTCATGTGATGCCATGTGATTGAACCTACCTCACATTGAGCATTATGTACCTAAGCACATGACTAATTTGCCCCTGAGTGAATGCTGGGCCATACTGTGGCTGTGCTATAGCATGAATCATGTCACCACTCATGCATTTCTTGACATATGCATCTGTGATTTGACAGGTGGGATGGTCTAGGGGGTATCTACAACATGTTAAAGGGTTATCCAATCAAAGTCACTGGTTGATGAGATATAACAGGAATGCATGCATCCCCTGCATGGTTTATGCATTATTTAATACCTCAGGTGCATCTATCTATGTACAAGGTATCAAGTTGATTCATTGGGAATTGAATGAACAGCAAGCAAATTACACAACTCAGATCCATGGGAAAACTCCAAAAAGTGCACATAAAATAGTGAAGATTTACAAAACATATCAAAAACATTGCACACAATGCTGCTACAGCTACACCAAATCACCTGGCACATGGGGTGGCATGCCTGGCCATAATCATTGCAGGTGCCTAGTGCTATCTGCAACTCAAAGTGTCAAAAATGCGAAATGGGCACAAGGGTCAATGGATTATGGGACATCTCAAAGCTATACAGTGGCTCAAACAACTGACTGCATGTTTGTATGTGTTACATTAGTTATGACTAAATGCAATAACCCCTAACCCTAGCCCTAAACCATGAGTGTATGAAATAGGGTACTTACTCTTGGCTTTCTATTGGTCCATGAATCAAGTCATTTGGATAGGAATTGATAGAATAGCAGCCATTTGAAAATGACATGTCATGTGGGCAGTTTTTTGACTTGAAGTTTTGATTACATAGTTCTGAGTTTAACAAAGTTTAAAATGCTGTGAGGTGCTTACTAATGCTTACATGGTATATCACCTGGTCCATTTGATGGTTTGTCATCATACAAACAATGCCAAACAATAAATTGGGACCATCAAGGCTCCCTCTCACAGCAAGCATTTTACAATTTTCTTTGCACAAACATGTGAAAAAAATCTTTTGAAAGATACTTTGTTTTATCTCATGTTCTCTGCTGAAACAACTGGCAATAATGTTGAATTTTAAAAGGTGCTTCTGACAGAAAACATGACAGTGGATTTCCAATGTTTTGCTGGTGAAAAACAATTACTATGACCCACCACCAAAAACCAAAAACAATCATCAAAAAAAATATTAGTACTGTTTTCTGCATGTTATGTAGTTGATTAATCAAATGTTGTAACATGAAATAATTTAAACACACTAGTCATTAGAGAATGTGTGATGTTACATAGAACATCACAAGTAAATGATAAATGTTTTGTATGTGATAATACTAATAACCTTTAACCAAATGTTTACTTCATAAACATGACATTTAAAACAATATTTGTTATGTGCAAAAACATGCTACTGAGATTCCATATTAACATGCTAAATATTTTCAATCAAATCACACTGATTTGTCTCCCAGAGAACATGATAAATAAAGAGTGAATTAAAGTGTCCTGTTGTACCACAGAACATGATAAGTGGCATCTGTAACCATCAATGCTATCACTGCTTGTCCTTGCTCAACCACCCCATCACATGCTGTCACATGATCTTATCTCATGGAATAAACCTCAGTCAGTCATGATATGTGCCACCTGACTTTTTATACTTGAGTATTCTGTGTCCTTTGTTGTTTTTTCTTGCAACAACACATTGATGACACACATTATAATGTTCTGTGGTAGAACAGGATAGTCCAAAATCCATGGTTGCCCTGACTGACTAGAGAAAGAGTAGCTGCTGATAGCACCCCCACCACTCATGAATGTCCCCAGTCCACTTTTGAAAGTGAAAGAGCACAAGGCAGTTCATGCAAGAAATGGGGAGTTCAGCACTGTATTTGCAGTAGGCAGCAGTCTGACAATAACTGTATAGCTCAGAACCTTCACAACACCTCTGCATATAACATGCTTACTTCACAGTTTATAATGCTCCATGGTGGAACAGGATATTGATATTTTACACTATTTATTTATCATGTTCTGTGGTACAGCTGTGGACAGACAAACACAATGATTTTGATTCTGGATTCCCATGACTTTTTGGGGGCAAACTAACACTTGATTCAGATGCTACAGGTGAAAATACATCAAAAAACAGTGGTCCAAAGTTTTTCCCATGACTTTTTAGGGTGGCCAAAATTTTGGTTAGATTGAATGTGGTACTTAGGGTGTGGTAACATGTTATTGACCCTATATAAGGTAGGATTAAGAACCACTTCAATGAATGTCATGGCTTTCTATGAGAGCTGATGGACATCAGGACCCTTCTTGTATTCCTTGGGGTATGTGAGTGACTGTTTTCATTGGGCAGCACACTTTGCTTCTCTCAGAGGTAACCAAGTCTCACCAAGTGGGTCATCACCAGCACTAATGGCAAGGTTGACCAACTGAGTACAGAGATCAGCCTCACCAACACCCATGACTTGGAATGTGGCATCATCATGTTCAAGCTCATCCTCTGACTCACTCTCACTGGCTGTAAACCTCAAACTGTCAAGTACATTGGTGCATTTCCACTCCAGTTCTTCATCTTCTGCCTCAGGGCTGGGAGCATGAGATCATGTCCTCATGCATTTGCTTGTGTGCTGATCCTTGTCAGATTTGGGTGTATCAGGGAATGATACATTGCCTGTTTCAACAACAGCTGAGCTCTGGTTATGCACACCAGCCATGTTGCATGTTACAGTGTGTTTTCAAGGGCATTCCTGTATCTAAGATCAGTAATTCACATGACCACAAACCTCAGACTTGCTCAATTTTTTCTGCTCCTCACTAGTGTGACAACTGTACCCTGACATTGCAATCATACTGTACTAGGCTAATGATACTTGTTTCGCTTTTTCCAGGATTTGTACAAATTCTTTTGGGGGCTGGCCACATTTTTGGGTCAAAATTTCAAAAACTTAGTATAACAAAAATTGGCTCTTGCAAATTGCATTGTTATGTCCTAAATATGCCTAGTATACATTTGTAACACCCCTGGAATGTTGTGCCATATTGGAATAATTCAATGAGTAAAATTCTCATGTTTGTCTGTCCACAACTGTCAAACAGGATATTTTGTGCATGACAGACCCACCATGGTCCTCATTGGAAGAACTGGATGAGTCATTTTATCAGTGATACATTGTACTGTTTTATGTGTGTCATCTTTTATTTTAGGATATAATTGTGGAATCTGTAGATAGACCTCAATATGCTGACAAGCTACTGAGGGACTAAGTGCACTGCAGAGCAGAGCAACAAGAGTCCTGATGATGCAGCTATGGCAGAGATGCTGAAAGATTGGAAAAATGAGTCAAGCACACTGGAAGGGAGTGGTCAGCTTGTCACCTATGAAACAATGTCAAAGAGAGACAAACTTGGATCTGTGCACAAGGCAGTCATGCCCACAAATGAACCTAAACAGCTCAGAACCTTCACAACACCTCTACATATAACATGCCTACTTCACAGTTATTCTGTGGTAGAACAGGATATTTTAATACATTATTTATTTATCATGTTTCCTGGGAGATATGATACTGTAATTTGACCTAGAACATTTGGCATGCTCTCAGTACCATGTTCTTGTACATAAAAATTGTAGTTTAGCATGTCATGTTTTTAGAGAAAACATTGAACTGCTGTTCTTTTTTTTTTTTTTCAGGTGAACATTGAAAGACTTGGCCAAATGTTTTTATTATTATCACATACAAAACATATATCATTTACTTTTGATGTTCTATGTAACATTACATGTTCTTCAATGATCAGTGTGTTTAAATTATTTTGTGGTAAAGTATTTGATTAATGTATTGCACAACATGTAGAAAACAGTACTGATAATTTTTTTGATGATTGTTTTTGGTTTTTGGTAGTGGGTCATGGTAATTGTTTTTCACCAATAAAACATTGGAAATCCACTGTGTCATGATTTCTGTCAGAAACACCTTTCAAAATTCAACATTATTGCCAGTTGTTTCAGCAGAGAACATGAGATAAAACAAAGTATCTTTTCAAAGATTTTTTTCCCCTATGTTTGTACAAAGAAAATTGTAAAATGGTTGCTGTGTCTTCTACCCCAACTCATGAAACCATCCTCCTGGTCCATCTGGGCCATTTTCTTAGAGTAATCCCCATAAATATTGGTGCCCACTACAGTAATGTCATCAGGGTATATGTCCAACACAATCAAACCCTTAAAAAATCTGCTTTCATTCATCCCTGTGCTGTTTCCCCCACCCATACCTGATATGTTCTGCACCTAATCAGTACTGAGACAGCTGGGAATGCCATGGAGGTCAATCTGGCACATCAGAAAATGATGAACAAACAAAACACCTTTTAACCAGTACATTTTCACCACAGTACAATTAGTTTCAATGCTGGGGTGAGACAAAACATTCCTGTGCACTTCAGGTGGCATGGGAAGCATGGATAGACTGTGCTCTCAGCTGACTGTGGATGACTGGGAATGGGTGATTTGGTCATATAAGACCATATGTAATACCCAGGCCTAGATGAATTGATGGAATCTCCTTCCTAGCAGTTCAGTGGACTATCCCCCCAGGGCACCTGAACTGTAATGAAGGTTTTCAACTCACCTGAGCCCTCAACCCAGCACCCTTGAGGTGGAAACCCACCAGATAAGAGGTGATTGGATTGTTGGTCATGTTTTAGAGTGCCAGATTAACCATCATGGCTTTTTCAGCATTCTCAGTACTGATTAGTTGCAGAACATATCAGGTATGGGTGGGGGAAACAGCACAGGGATGAATGAAAGCAGATTTTTTAAGGGTTTGATTGTGTTGGACATATACCCTGATGACATTACTGTAGTGGGCACCAATATTTATGGGGATTACTCTGAGAAAATGGCCCAGATGGACCAGGAGGATGGTTTCATGAGTTGGGGTAGAAGAGGGAGCCTTGATGGTCCCAATTTATTGTTTGGCATTGTTTGTATGATGACAAATCATCAAATAGACCAGGTGATATACCATGTAAGCATTAGTAAGCACCTCACAGCATTTTAAACTTTTTTAAACTCAAAACTATGTCATCAAAACTTAAAGTCAAAAAAACTGATTGCATGACATGTCATTTTCAAATGGCTGCTATTCTATCAATTCCTATCCAAATGACTTGATTCATGGACCAATAGAAAGCCAAGAGTCAGTACCCTATTTCATACACTCATGGTTTAGGGCTAGGGTTAGGGGTTATTGCATTTAGTCATAACTAATGTAATACATACAAACATGCAGTCAGTTTTTTGAGCCACTGTAAATCTCTAATGGACTGATTGATTAGAGGTGCACATTTTTGACACTTCTAATTGCAGATATGATTAGGCTGTTGTATATTCTGCCTTTCACATTATGCTTTCACCTACATCTCACTTAGTATTATGGTATGCATTTAGCCATATTACATAATCATGTTTGTTTTCACACTTGAGTAGCATAGTCACACCTCAGTTGGCTACTTGACCCAACTGAGGTGGGTACTTTCCACATCCTGTCTTTACACTCTGCTAATAGTCCTGTAGTGTATATTCTACAGGTTATGAACCCTGGTGCTCACTAGCCAGGAACTTGTAGCAACATGTCATTCACATCCAAGCTCAGAGATGATTTCCTTAAGGTCCCAAAGCTCTTGGCAGATGGAGAGAACTGGGTAACATACAAGGACAGGCTAATGTGGTCTTTGGATGCTCATGGGCTGCTTGGGTACATAGATGGTACTGAGACAATGCCAGTCAACCCCAAGACACTAGCAAACTGGAGCAAGAGCTGGATACCTATCTCTGCAGAGGAGAAAAAGGAGTGATGAAGTACCAAGCTACCCTAAAAGAATGGAGGCTCAGCCACACCATCATCAAGCAACAAATCACCAGCATGATCCCTGATACACTATTTATCCAAATAAAGAGTCTTGCTACTGCACTTGACATCTGGACATACCTATCCAACCTCTTTGAGAAGCACTCTCATGTTGTATCAGTTGAACTGCTGAAGAAGCTCCAAACTATAAGATGCACAGAGAAGGGAAATGTTAGGGAACACTTTGACAAAATGTGGCAACTAAATGAACAACTTGCCTCAATGGGCCAATCCCTGACAGATGAAAGCTATATGGCTATGGTCATGGCATCCCTCCCATGCTCTTATGACTCTGTCATCAGAGCAATTTCTGCACCCACAAAAGTTTTCACCTCCACTACCCTAACAACTGCAACTCTCATGAATGCAGTACAAGACAAGTATGACCACCATGCCACAAAGCAGAAGAAGTCTAGTGATGCAGATGATGCAGCATACTCAGCTGGAGGAAAGCAAAAGAAGTTTGCAGCAAGTTGCTACAAATGTAGGAAACATGGGCACCAAGCTTGCAAATGCAGGTCAAGTGGGAATGACTCACAAAGTGGAGGGAAGTCTTTGGATAAAGGGAAGCAGAAAGAGCATGCAGCAGTGGCCAAGGATGACAGCAGCAATGACCCAGATGGGGTATGGTTCACACATATCAATGACAGCTATGAAGCTGAGGTTGACAAAAGCTCAACCATCCCCAGAGAGATTTGCCACTATTGCATACATGAGACCACCAAGCTACACTACACTATACAATTCTGGAGCCTTTCATCACATGTCACCATACAAGGAAAACTTTGTCAACTATAAGCCCATCACTCCCAAACCCATTACTGCAGTGGACAAACAAACCTTTGAAGCCATTGGAACAGGAGATGTGTACATATCCCTACCAAATGGCAACTCACCCACTCATATCCTCTTGAAGGATGTTCTGCATACACCTAAGATCAGCATAACCCTGGTATCCATTAGCTGCCTGGACACAAGTGGATATGCCCTACTCTTCCATGACTCATGCTGCAAGATCTTTAACAGACAAAAGAAACTCCTTGGGGAAGTACCAGTCAGCAGCAGCCTCTATACAACCAAAGCCACACAGAAGGTTTATGCAGGCTTGGAAAACTTGAGAGTAACTCTTACCATGGAATATATTCATGCATGGCTTTGCCATATATCACCAGATACTATTAAACAAATGCTAAAGGATGGCATCATATCTGGAATAAGCCTAGACCCATCCCATGTAACAATTGAATCTTGCAACACATGCAAGTATGCCAAGGCAACCTGAAAACCCATAGGAAAAATCTGAGACCCCCTGTGCTGAGACAAGGTTGGTGACAAAATCCATATGGACTTATGGGGACCATCCCCTGTCCAAACAAATGCAAAGAGTCCATGTTTTGTGTCATACACTGATTACCATACTCACTTTACAAGCCTGTACCTCCTGAAGTCAAAGGATGAAACCTTTGAGTCCTACCAAAGGCTTTGCTCAGACCAGGGTGGGGAGTTCCTAAGCAAAGAGTTTTCATGTCATCTTGGGCTAAAAGGAACAGAGAGGAAGCTCATGGTGCACAATACACCACAGCATAATGGTGTTGCTGAAAGGCTAAACTGCACACTCATTGAATGTGTACATGCCATGCTAAACACAAGTGGCCTCCAAAGTCACTATGGGGAGAATCTATAATGCACATGAACTGGTTGAAGAATCTGTTGGAACATAAAGTGCCACTGTTTGTTGGTACTTAGGTGCGATGCTAGTGTGCTGACATAAGCACAAAAAGCGCACATACTTGTAGTATTTTCTACCAGTATTCCCTCAGTAGTTTGTTCACTACT